TAATTAATTTATCAAAATATTTTAGTGTAAATCCGATGAATTAATAAAACGAATTCATAATGCTGTACGTCAATGTATTTCTTTTCGTTATATTCATCGATTATGTCAAATTAAATTTGAATATCGTTATTATCCATTAACAAACGAAATTCTCTCAATAAAATCTCAACTTGAATATGTTGCTTTGAATGAATATGAAAAAGAATTAGAAGAATATGAAAAACTCTTTCAATTAAATACTTTAATTGATGATGATATATGTCAAACAATGTTTAATGAATATGTTTTTTTTACAACGTAATTATTATTATATGAAGAAATTAATGAAAAAAAAACAATGAGAAATTAAGGAAAAAAAATTTATCTTTTATTTTCTCGAGGAAAAAAAAACAACCGTCTTTTGTTTTATTTGCTTTGTGATACAGATTGGTTTTTTTTTCTTTCTTGTTTGTATTTTGTTTAGTAAAAAGAAAATTATATTTCATAAGAAAAAAAGAAAGTACTTTTGAAGTTACATCGTACTTTTATTTCTAAATTAGTAAGAGATCTTATGAGGAAGTACTTGTAAGATGTAGAATGAAATACTCGTTGGTGTATACTCATGAATGTATCAGTTAGTATAATGTTGATAGAGGTTTAGAAGGAAATGAATTCGAATATTAATGATAAGAATTCATTTGGAGCATCTGACTTCTCTGATAAAATTAAAGATCTCACTTTTAATGATAACAGTGCAATGCTTCCGGATGTTTATACTAAAATCACAACTTGCGATTTTTTGAATCTATATATTCGCTCGTTATCATTGAAATTATTGCTTGAGAAATTTTTTAGTATTCGAGATTGATTATCTTGAATTTTATAGAAATATTCTATTTAATACAATAAATCATAGTGATAATATTAAGCTGAATAATACCCACTGGTCCATTCATAGTTTGTTATATTACAATTTACAGTCGTACGGATGAACAGTTTACTAGATATACTCAATCAATTTGTGCTATATAATTAATCGAGCGATTCTACTCTAAAATCCTCAAGTAAATTTAGCCACTAAATAAATCTAAAATGTCTGTAACAAACGTGATATATGTTAAAGATTCATAATTCGTAGATCTATGAGAATCGTATTGATAGTATCAACAAAGATCGTTGACTAAATCTAAGAACTATTTTCTAAATATTTAATCACCATAAAACCTACATGCTTTATATTCATTTCTACATCATGTTTTTTTGTTCTCAAATCACATAAATTATTTGCTTAAATATATTAAAAAAAGGTCTAATTTAAAAAAGAACGTGTTATTATTCTATTTTTAATATAGTCTCGATGTTTCTGCGTCGTTTAAATAGTATCATTCTTTTGATAAAGCATGCATCAGTAGTTATTTATTAAACTAGGCAGACGACAGTTCTTGATATATTGTAAGATAAAATAACAAAAAAGGAAAAAAGTAAAAGATGTCCGTAAAAAAAATTAATTATGTTGACAAATGCAATCACGCTTAGATGATAATAGTCTAAAGAGTATTGAATAATATGACATTAATTGAAGAGAAAAATGGTGTTAATAATAGACTAACTCTATGAAGGAAAAAAAAAGAAAGAAACTGAGCGAGAATATAAAATGTTTTTAATTGAAATAAAGAAGAAGAAGAAAAAAAAGGTTTGGTCCTTTTTTTTGCTTCGAGAATTTATTTTTCATATATGTGGCAAGAACATCAACAAACATCAACTTCTCCATTTGATTGTGCTGTTTGTGGTGCTTGTGTTTACGGAAATAATTCTGGTATTCGAACATGTTTACCATGTAAATCATTTTTTCGACGTCATGCGTTTTTACCATCAAATGTTAGCCGAATTAAAAGATTAGTTTTAATTTGTAACTAAATAAATTTTCTTTTGTCTTCTTAGACATTAAAATGTAATCAAAATGGAACATGTAATATAGAAGCAACACGAAGATATTTTTCGGCATCATTACCACCATGTCGAGCATGTCGATTACAAAAATGTTTAGAAGTTGGAATGGATCAAAATTTACTTCGTCCACGTTCTGCAAGTAGTCCACCATTAACAACAGTTGTTGAAAGATTATTTACTACTACACTTATTAAAACAGCTTCATTAGATGAAAATGCTGTTCTATCAAGAGTAAGTAGAATTGACATTATGTCAAAATATTTATTTTCATCTCTAATTACATAGAATAATCCATATTTTCTTTTTAGTTAAAAAAACAAATCGAATCTGAAAGTGATACACAAATAAATAATGATAAAACCATGATTGGCCGTCCTCGTTGTTCAAGTGATGCTAATGATTATCCTCATCATCGATTTTAAATTGACTTCAAATCGTTTTTTTTCTATAAATTAATATTCTGAACATATGCAAAATGTTTCATTTCATATCTTATTATGAAAAATTCAACAAACAACATTTTTCAAATACAATTAGTAATTTTCGTATGTATTAAACTTATCCAGGCTGCTAAATTTCTCTATTATTTATATTTAAATTAGTCAAACAAAATCCTTCAATTATTAATAATATTATAACATCTATTATTATTCGTGTATATTAATTATGTTCATCTACATCAGAGATAAAACTGAATATTTAATCTATTTGAACTCGCGTTTTTCTAAACAAATAAAAATGACCTTGTTTACTGAAATACAATAGATAACAAGGTAAAATATAAATGTATGCTAATGACACTACAGGATACTTTAAAATGTGAGTTATTAGAATGGAAGACTAATTGCACAAAAAACTAAAAGTCTAATTTATTTTTTGTTCATCGAAATAAATTCTCATCTTTTTTTTTTGTTCTAATGTTCAACACTATCATTGACTTTTAAAAATAAAACGAAATTGTATAGTTTTAAGATCATAAATTCTGCTTTGTTTCATTTTTTGGGTGGGCGAAATGAAATTTGAGATGGGCGCCGCCAGACAAATCAATATTTTAATTAATTATATTTTTTATTTCTTAATAACTAATCATAATAACAAAAATAGAGAGTAAAGAAGAAAATATATATATATATCTGATAATTGATCAAGAATTTTAACATATAAACATCTGACATTTTGATTAAATTTCACCTGATAACATTGTATTAAAATCTAAAATAAATTTAATAAGAAAAGAAAAAAGAGATGATGTAAGAAATAACTAACCACTTTTAGCTAATGTTTCATCTTGTTTACTCGTTTGTGAACGTTGAACAAAACGAGAAAATATATCGATAAATGGTTTCAATGCTGTTTGATTAAAATCTAATAAAGAAAATATTTTGAAATAAAAATTGAATTCTAATTTCAAAATAACCTTTTTGTTTAATATTTGTTTTTCCATTTTCAATATCTTCATTTTGTTTTGGTAATTGTTCAACTTGTTGACATAATTCACTTAATTT